CCTGGTACCAAAAAATTTTTTTTAGTTTCCCAATGTACCTATGTTTTATTAACAATAGCTAAAATTCATTGGATGTTTACTGGGCACTACAATCTTTACATATGTTTTATGTCATTATTCATTCATTAATACTGTATTTACTAAAATCTTACTATATGTCTGGCCCTGTTATGGAAGCTAGGGTACAATACTGAGCAAAAGCAGGTAGAAATCCTGGCCCTTACAGAACTTACCTTCTCTTTGCCTACTACTTAGGATAGGGGGAGAAGAGATAAAATAAATAAAATATTTCATCTTTCAGACATGTTAAGTACCACTTAGCTTTTTGGGTAGGGAGATTATTAGGAGGATAGTTTTCAAAGGAGCATAATGGGATAGGTCATGCCAATTAGAAGGAACTAGCAATTTTAAATAGGGTAGAGTAGAGAGGCCTTACTAATAAGATAACTATTGAGCCAAGTCTGGGAGCTGAAGCAGTTATATGTGTGAGAAAAGAATTGAGGCAGATGGCACAGCTGACGCCAGACTTTGAGGTGGAAATTTTTCTGGAATGTTCAGTTAACAGTGAAAAGGCTAGTAGAATATCGAAACATGCTCAGAGACCTGCAGCAAGGTGAGGCATGTGAGGAAAGCAAGTCGTAGGCCATTTTAAGGTTGTTGGCTTTTTACTGAATGAAAGAAACTGTTAGAGGATTCGCAGCCTAAGGAGTAAAATCTCTGATTTATATGTGGAAGGATCATCCTGCATTGAAAATAGACTGCAGAAAGGCAGGAACAGAAGCAGAAACACCGCTGATGAGGCTGCTGTAATACTCTAAATGAGAAGTAAATAGCCAGACCTGGATAGCAGTGATGCAGTGGGTAAAAGGAGGGTATATTTTACAGAGCCAATGAACATGACTGATGTAGGATATAAAGTATATGTGAGACCCAGTCAAGGTTACTGATTTTTGGCCTAAACAACTGGAAGCAGAGTAGCTGGTAATTAAATGAGAAAGATAATGGAGGTGCATAGTTGAGGGGTATTCTTTGGTTTTAATTTCAAATTTGAGATCCCACATATCCTAGTAGAGATAGCATAGAGAGATAATTCCTACTAAAGGATAAATATATTAGAACTGCCTGTTACTTCTTTAGACCAAGAATGAAATAACTAATTTCAAACAAATTCCATAAAAGTTTTATTTCATGTCTTCAATCAGTAGGAGAGATTTTCAGTGTCTGTTTTATACATCCTTATTGGCTACATAACTACTTTTCACTCTTTAGAATTTTGAAGTCCTCAACTTCTACTCTTGTATTACCTGGAACCCACTTACTACATTCCAGGTCTGGGTCAGCAAACTTTTTCTATGAAATGCCAGATGGTAAATGTTTTAGCTTGGTAAACCATATGGTCTTTGTCACAACTCTAGCTTTCTAAGCATGAAAGCAGCTGTAGATAGATAATCCATAAACTGATACATGTGACTATGTTCCAATAAATTTTTATTTGCAGACACTGAAATTTGAATTTCACATTATTTTCATGGTTTGCAAAATATTTTTATTTTTGACCATTAAAAATGTGAAAGCCAAGTTTGTAAGCCATACAGAAACCAAAATAGGCCAGATGTGGCCTATGGCCATAGTTGGTTAATCCCTGTTCCAGGTTCTGGACAAAGGGAAATGTAGTGTAGTAAACAAAAATTTCTGCCCTTATGCAACTTATGTACTAAGGCAGCCTATAAGCCATAATCAGTACTTACTTTAACATGCTGAAAGGTGATAGACAATGCTATAAAAAAAATCAGAAATAGGGCTGGGGATTTAGCTCAGTGGCATTAAGCGCCTGCCTGGCAAGCACGAGGTTGTGAGTTCAATCCCCGGTACCAGAAAAAAAAATATCAGAAATAGAGTAGAGGGAAGATGTGGAATCCTGGAGATAGAAACAAGTATCAGTATTAAATAACGATAACCTTTTCTCTGAGAGATCATAGGAATGAGCCTCTAGACTATTGTATAATAATTTTACTTTCTTTGTCTCCTGTACATTTAAGGAAAAGCAGAAGTACCATAGCAGTGTAGGTAGTCCTTTTGGGGAACCTTCTACTTGTATCCATACCGATCAAGTCAGCTTCCAGTGACCACATATCCCTGTTAATATGGTTCTCCATGGGCTTTCTCATCATTGCTTCTTGGTTTATCTTGTCCTTTTGCACAGGATTCAGGTCAATGAAATGTATTATTCCAGGGGTACAAATATAGCATAAAATCTTGCCTCAAGAAAAATTACATCATATATTTGTACAAACATAAATAAACAATTTATAACACATATATGTCCTTTGTAGAGAGTATTTATTATTGGAGGGGTAGATTATTCTTTTTATTATTGGTTACAGTCTCTGCTCACAAGTCATTGCTTTCCTTGAGTTTTCCATGTAAGGAAAGAAGGGAAAACTTTGAAGATTTTTATTTCCTGTTCATCATTTTCTTGTGGCAAGAAACCCCCCACAAGCCACTTGTTTGCAACATCAAACAAATTAATTGGCAGATGAGCTTTGTTTACAGATTCCAATAATGAACATAAGAAATAAAGGTTTATGCCCATCCTTACCTCAGAGCAAGCATTAGATTTTCCTTGTCTTAGTTAAACCCAACACTTGCTCAGAGGTATTGCTCTGTTCACTGTCTTCTATATCCTATCTGTTTTCAACTTCTCTATCACTTCCAGCTTTCTTACACGCTCAGGTCTCTATTACCCAGAGAACAAACTCCACCAAGTCTTCCCTCTAAGAATGCCCAGTCTTGATCTGTCCTTTCTTATTCATGCTTCTCAAAATAATACCGAACTGCTTTCCCCCTTTCTTCAATTTTTTATATTCAATTTTTTTAACATTTCTCATTGGACAGTATAATATACATACTGAAAACTGGATTAACTACTTGTACAATTTAATGAATTAGTTATATGACACATACCCAGGTAACCACTTCCATGTGACAAGAATCAGGAAATTGCACCTACTGTGAAACCATGTGCTATTCTCTTCCTGTTGGAAGTAATAACCAACCTGGCTTTTCTGAGTAATTGGTTGTTTACTCTGTATTTCTTTCACTGTTGTGTGTATTTCTGTAGTCTTTACCCTTCTTTTTCTACCCTCAGACTAGTTTTAAATTTTTCAATAAATTTATCTATGAACAATTGCACTTGAAATGACTTTCTCAGCATCAGTGTTACTAGGCCTCTCTGCAGTGCTCAGCCTTATAGATTAGTTTATCCTTTCTGAATCTAGTTTTTAAGGCCTGTACCTGTTTTTTCCTGTGTCTCTGCACCATTGAGCTTTTGTTCTTTTCACGGGCTCCTCTCCCCTGCTCCTTAAACTTTGCTGTCTCTAAGATTCTATTCTTCATTCACTGCCACAGTTCCCTAAACTCTTAAGAAGTAATATTTCAAAGGAATCCCCTGCCTAAAATGAGCTTTTTTGGAAAGGACAAGGTTTGAACTTTCTTCTATCATTTGTTAAACCCTCACAAATATTTATGTTGCAGACCAAACCTGGACCACCCAAAAAGCCGAAGACTCCTTCTGGACAATCAGCCTTTGTGTATTGCTACAACTGTGCACAAAAAGGCCATTATGGACATGTAAGTTTGAGTAATATTTGGACATCAAGCATTCTGTTGCCAGGGAGTACTTGCTGAAAGGTGAACTCAAGAATAATATAATTCTGAGTGCTTACTTGTTTACAGATTAGCATTCAGAGGTGGATTTGCCGTACTGCCAACTGATGTACTTCTGTTGTCCCTACCAGAGTGATAGTCTTTCAGAGTGTATTTCTCTAATCACTTTAATTGTACATGAAAGTGAATACAGTTCATAAGGTCAATCAAACAAATAGTCAACAATATGGAAATATTCTGGAGTTCTTATCAAACTGTTACTTTGACATAGCTGCATTAAGTTCTAAATATTCTATCTAGTTCTCCAGTTTTCCCCAGTGCTGTGTTCAGCTAACTCTATGTCGGTCACTTGTAACCCTGACACACAGTCTTGGTAAAACAGAGGTGGAGCTGAGCATTAGTCCCCTGGCCAGTTGCCACATTTAGTACGAAACAGTGTTGTCCTAGAGACAGCGTGCAATAAAAAGAGACCTAGAGCCCATATTTGCTAGGAATCTTTGTGAAGGAAAAAGGACAGTGGCACAGAAAGTAGAAAACACATATAGAGCTATGCATTCCTGTTCACCAGATAGGCATCGCGGAGCCTAGAAACCCAAGTAAGCTACTGACAGATCAAATGGCAGGAGGGAGAAAGCATAGAGAAGTTTAGGAGCCCTCAAAGGGGTGGAGGAATGAGAACAGGGTAATTGTAGGCCTCCTCTTGGATTCCAGCCATGGTACTTTATTGTATAGATCCCGAGAGCACTGCATCATAGGGAGAAAAAAAGACTGGAAGAAGAAAAAGAGACCACCAACAGATCTGTTACGTCCCATGTTGAGGTAGCAGAAATGGAAGGAGAGAGTAAAATATGAAAACTAGGTTGAGGTTTTGGACCTCAGTTCTAATTTTTGCTCTGCTACCAACTTAAAGTAATTTGAACAGCTTTTTCTGCTTGTCTTCAATCTTTATCTCCAAAGCAAAGAGAATGTACAGGGAATCTCTTGGCAGTGACATTTGAATGCTGTTTCCAGTGTGATCAAACTTGTCAAATGTGATACGGATCTTACAGTATTCTTACTTTCTGTTCTCTAGAACTCACATTTGAAAATCTTACCAGAGAAGATTTCTTCTTTTTCTTTTCTTTTCTTTTTCTTTTTTTTTTTTTTTTGGTACTGGGGGTCGAACTCACAACTCCATGCTTGCCAGGCAGGCGCTTATGCCGCCGAGCTAAATCCCCAGCCCAGAAAATTTGTTTTACAAAATTATCATCTCTAGGTCTTTACTGCTGATCACATTCACCCTTGTTAGCAGTATTTAGAGAACATATTCACATAACTGGTCCACTGCCTCATAAGTCCCACAGATGTACAGTTTATGCCTACTTGCTTTTTTAAAGCAAAAATGTATAATTTTAGCATTTGTTTGTTCAATTAAAGAAAACAATTACTGCTTACTAGTCTTTCCTCTAGTATAGATAGGAAATGTATTAAAAACATTTGGAATTTATCCCTGAAATCTAGATTTAGATTATTTTTAATTTATAATAAAGCAAATTTGGCAGCCTCATAACTGCCATAGATGAAGAACTTTAAATTATCCAGCACTAATGAAGAAGATCAGTGGTGTGGCTAATCCAGAATAGTAGATAAATTATATAGCCAACTATCAATTGTCTCTGCTAATGGAGGGGACCAGTGATGTGGATAATCAAAATATGATTTACATTTTACTTTGCAAAACATTTGTAATACTGGATGGCTCTGTGTAGTCATATCAGGCTAGACTATCCAGGACCCAAATAGGAGAGTGTGCATTGCAGATAGTTAAAGATGCCTGAGGACCCCTCCTCTTCAGGTTCAGAAATTTCACCCCTACAAATGTTAATATTAAATGGGTTCTTTATGTGAAAGATAAGACATTTCACTTCTCTCCTCCCATTCATTCTCTAGCTAGGGAAGCAAGAACTGCAGTAACTATAAGTGTGAAAAAGAGGACGTGGGGCCAAGGAGAGTTAAAGTTCTATTTATGCAGGTTTTGAGTGTGACAAAATTTCTAGTAATTACAATTTGATCCTACTGTTGTATGATTAGAACTCTTTAATAGAGATAAAATTTATCTCAGTAGAGATAAAATTGTTCTATAGCCCACAATTACAATATATTAAAGTATTCTAAATATGCTACTTGTGCTGATGAGTTTTACACTTTTACGTGACTTATGTTTTTAATTAGCAGCCTTTCATTTCTGTTATGGTTAAAATCTTAGACCCACATCTTCTGTGATTATCTTTTCTCCTGAGAATGGGATCTTGGAACCAGTATACATAAAGGTTTATGGAAAAATTTTTTAATGCTATCATGTAAGTGTACCTTCTAGGTTACAGGTTCCAAAAAGCAATAACCCAGAATAGAGATGGCAGAAAGAAAGAAGTCGGGGCTGGGAATTTAGCTCAGCAGCATAAGCACCTGCCTTGCAAGCAGATAGTTGTGAGTTTGATCCCTGGTACCGATAAAAACGAAAAAGACAAAAAAAAAAAAAAAAAAAAAGAAAGAAAGAAGTAATAAAGATAAATAAAATTATTGATATGGAAAACTAAATAGCATCAAGAAAACCAAAAACTGGCTCTTGAAAACTCCTCTTTGAGGAGAAAAATGAAAGTCAGTTAAGGTAAAATACTTGATTTGATATGAGAGGTAAATATAGATTACTATTTATATATTTAGAATGATTTATATGGGGCCGGGGATTTAGCTCAGGGATATAAGCACTTGCATGCAAGCACGAAATTATGAGTTCGATCCCCAGTACCCAAAAAAAAAAAAAAAAAAAAAAGACTGATTTATTACTTATTTAAAGCTACAAATTAGGTGCATAAAATGGATTGCTACCAACTTGATCAGATATCTTAGAAGTACAAGTCCAGTATAATGTCAAAGGTATGAGTCAGCTAAATTCTGTGTCGATATTTCACATACTTTCTAAAAGTTATTCTAATTTTTCTTCAATACTTAGCTAAGAAATGTTAACATTTATAAATAAGTTTTAGGCAGGATGGTAGAAAACAAAGTTGCAAAGGGAAACCTCCTTCAAAGAGAATATGTTTCAGACATGCTGAAGAGTTGAGTCACCATTCGTGATAAATAGAGGCCCATGCTATAGGGAGTAGTTTAGGGCCACATCCATGTATTTGGAAGTACCTGCAGTGTGAGGGACAGAGTCATGGGAGCTACCCTAGGAAATGGATATGAAGAATGACTTCAACTTGGGTGGGGAAACAAGTGGGGAAGAGATTTCCTTTGGCATATCTCAATTACCTGGAACATTTTAAAAGTAGACATAACCCAGCACCTCTCCGTGCCATACCATAAAAATTACTGCCCTAATAAATAATCACTGTTGAATTGAAATAAGCTTGCAAATCACTCATATCTAGAAAAAAGACCAAAGGGCTAAGAATTTACACCCACATTTTGGCGAAAGGAAGAAGAAAAAAGAAAAGTACTTGATAGAAAGCTATTGGAAGAGACAGAAAAAGAAAGGACAAATATTAACATCAAGGTGAATAAAATAAATCCTCTAACAGAACAATGCAAGTGTGATTGGTACTATTAATTCAACTGAGGAAGAGGTTTGGTAAGGACAATTGAAAAACGATACGAAGAATTTCATAGGTACAGAAATCAGAGAGGAAAACCCAAGCCTGCTAGGTGTGGCACATGCCTGTAATCCCAGCACTCAGGAGATAGGCAGGAGGATCGCTGTGAGTTCGAGGCCAACCTGAACTCACAAGCCAGACCCTGTCTCAAAAAGAAAGGGGGTGGGAGAGAAACGGGGACAGTATAGCACTTAAGCACAGTGGAGCTGTTGGGCTGCATGACCCCTCCCTGCACCCAGCAGGTCCACATCCAGCAGCCACAGCATCAGGCAGCGGTGAAGTGGGACTCATGTAACGGACATGGTCAAGAAGCTCACAAAAAGGCTTTCTGAACAATGCAAACTTGTGATGTCATAATTTCAAATACAATTTGTAGGAATGTACAGAAAGGCGAATGTTTAACCAGACATTTCCAACATCTCCATTCATCTACTACTATGATGACAAATACGAAATTCGGGAGAGGGATCAGAGAATAAAACGAAAAGTAAAAGGTATGTTACTAGAATTCTTGTTAGTTAAAACACTTCGGCAGTAGTTTCCATATTGCCTTTTCTTTTTTTTTTTTTTTTTCTTGCACTGTTCTTACCTATTTAGAGTCATTGTTTATGCCACATTTTTTAATTGCCATAGAAACTAGAAGTTTCTTGATCTGCAAACCCAAGACGCCTATTCCACAAATCCTGTGTTGTAATCTGTTCACTCAAACATAGTGAACATTTCAGAAAAATACTCTATTCATTTGTGTGTGCAGAGCTTTAAAAATTCCTCTGAGATTTTATGTTACACTTATTTTTTTCTCTGCATATGTCTAACATTTTTCATGGAAAGAAGAGCTTTTCTGGGGGCTTTCCCTAAGAAGTCAGCTCTTACTGGCCACTACTGCAAGCAAAAACTCCAGGTCCACAGCCACCTTTATGATTTCAGTGCATACCATTCCAACATAAATTTCTTTCACCCCAAGTTAATACTTCATTATTTGAGTGTATTTTCTGTGTCTCTCTTACTATATTTCAAGATGATTTTTCAACTTGCCTTTCTCGCTTCAAAGCAAATTTGTTGTATATTTTTCAAGTCATTATGTCTTCTGACTCTTTTGAGCTTTTTGTTATTCTTTGTTTGGACTCTGACCTTTTTGTTATTCTTTGTTATTCTTTGGATTCTCTGCATTCAGGTTCTCTTCAAAATGAACATACTAAATTCTGAGGGAAGTAGAGGAATTATTTCTCACAGCTCCTGTCTGCATCATTTATGTATTATATTTTATATAAAATTTATCTCAATTGTAAAGAAATTATAGTACATGAAGATAATGATTAAGCAACTAAATTAGAGATTAAAAGAAATGCTTGAAATATCATCTCTGAATAAAGGATTATGAGTGCCTTCCAGTTTTCTTTATAATAATCTGTTTTTCATTCAAATTTTCTGCACTAAGCAATTATAAATTTTATTATCCAAGAAAAACATCCCCCCCCCCTTTCTGGTAATTGTATTGACAGCCCTATAACACAGATGCATTTTGAGGTGCACTGTAATTCATTGGCATTTTAATTTTGTGCTAAAATTCTTTAAATTAAAATTAAAATTAAACTAAAATTAAAATTATTATTGGCCACTTTAATCATTCAAGGTTCTGTTGATATATTTTTCATCCCTTTCTGTACCATCATCTCCTACCTACCATCAGACCATCAGATAGTCTTAGTGTGCCAAAATCTTGACAGCATATAACAGCATTCGGCACTAAAATCTCATAAGATAAATGCACATGAACATTCCCTAAGGTACACACACACTCCCCAAGCCAGTGGTCTCTACTCTGGACGAACAGAAGTTTGACATCCACCTCTCAGTACTGTAGCCAGACTTTTATCATCAGAGGGTAATTGAAATGTCATAAGAAATTGTCAAAAGGCTGCCTTATCCATCTTCCTTCCCCTTATCTTCAGGGGCTTTTTATCACTAGAGAACTTGACTTGGCCAGACACAACTTTTCTTCACAAAGCTAAGATGATTACTATTCATACTGGGCTTTGTCTCCATTGTTTAATGTAGTTAACTATAGAATAAATATCATAGGATTTTAGATACTTTCCCTTTTCAGCAATCAGGAATGCAGAACTACAACCATTCAATTTTCATTGAGTGATTTTTTTTTTAACCTTAGTAAAGTTTCTTTAGAGTGTTATATTGTTAAGATGTTAAATGTCTTCCACAAATGCTAGGTTATTTACAGATCTGTGAAAAGTCTACGTGAACTGTCTACCTGCTGAATATGCAAATTACTTATATTTTCCAGAACTCAAGAAAAATGGGGATTTTCCAAGGCAGTTCAAAAGATCATATATGGAAGCAGCAGATAAGAGACCCCACAATGACAAGAGGAAGAGCTATGCCTCCCAGGAAAACTACAGGTGGCATCAAGGAGATAAAGAAGCTCAGAGAGAAATGATGAGCAGGAGTAGGGACCCAGAGAAGCACAGGAAGGTTGGCAGGCATTGGGAAGCGAATGAGGACTTTCCTAGAGGCCCAGACACTCATTTTCCCAGCGGTTTTAAATCCCGGAAGCCTCACAAGTCCTTTCATCACTCATCACATCACCATAAGCCAAAAGAAGACAAGCTTCCCAGGGATGGCAAGCGGAACAGGCAGAAGAAAAAGGGAAGATATGTGGAAGATGACAGCAATGATAACTTATTTCTTATCAAGCAAAGGAAAAAAAAATCAAAGCTGTGATACAGCTTCTGAATTCACTTCATTTCTGTAACATTCTAGCAACATTTTTATTACCTATAATTGAATAAAGGGAAGTTGCTTGTTTTGATTGTTAAATTGCAGCCTTTCTTAGAGTTGCTGAATGAATGTCATGGAGATCTGAATTCTCTACATTCAACAGATGATTAGATAGAAAACAAAGATAAAGTGGATCTTCTGTTGTAATATTTTTACTTAGAATCTTTGTGACAGAAAAAAACAGTTTTCAAGAAAACTTTAAAAATACTTGAAAAAGTTCATAAATGCAGTGCATCTGCAGCATGGGATGAAAATTAAATCTGGGTAGGAAGAGAAATTTTTACTAGTAATTCATCACTCAGCATTACTTTTATTTTAACATGGAAAAGACAGTGACCAATATATAAATCCAGCTTTTCTTGCTTCTAAAACTGATGTCAGAATCGTCCTTTTGAGTAGATGTCATAGACTGAGAATAAAATGAAGATACCACTAAAGCCCTGAGGAAACAGAGAATTGGGCTATTAACAACGTACTTAAAAGAAATCTGTGCAGTATAAATGTAAAAGACAGATTTTCTGAACTATATCAGAATATATCAAAAGTATTAAAATCATATTGTGACAATTTATATCATTTTTATAGCCACCTTTCAATGATGTGACCAGCATTCACATATATGCAGATGAATACTTAATTGTTTTGCTTTTATGGATTTTTAAAAGTACCACACACAGATACAGAATTTTTTTCTATATTGTGAACTTTTTGTACTTTTCAACACCTAACAGAATAAGAAAGCTAAAATGTCTGAAACAGAATGAATAAATTTTTCTGTTATATAAAATGACAATAAGCATTTGGGCCTCAAAGGACATAGCTGAGTTAGACAGGTGACTAAATTTATAAAATAACCATGAACTGGAGTCACAGGTGCCTTTTATGCCCAACCACAGCTGTTTGTTAGAATATAATGGTGTGGGATCAATGACACCCTGCTGAAAGTGACAGCTATGAAAAATAGCTTTGTAGAAGTGTGGTAAGCCTTGTTGGCAGAATTCCCTGGTAGGACCTGGAGTGAATATGTGTTACTGATCTTATGGAATTAGCACCCCATCTGATGCTAGGGCATCTCCTCTCAGGGCAGTAAGTTACCATTATTTATGTTCTTTCATACATGGAAGATTATTGAGAGATTAGAAAGTAGTTTTTATCTTATTTTTCCAGAAATTTTCCTTGTTAGATAAACATTTTGTTTAGGTATGATTTACACATCAAGTTCCTGCAGTTATATACAGATAGAAAAGGAAGCTGCAGTGCTTCACTGGAAGCTATAAGGAGGAAATCTGTTTCCTAATAAGGGAGAGCAAAAACATGCAGAAACCTCTTTCTTTTTGTTCTCCCCCACTGCAGCTCTTACACTACAGTGTTCAGTTTATCATTTACTTACAAACTTTCCATGCAAGAATAAGTTCAAAGCATGTAGATTGGACACTTAATCACATAATACTTTAATGTAGAAAAATACTGGAGAAGAAAAGCAGAGCTCTAGAGCAAGAAGGTGCTGTACAGTTGTTAGGGTAGAGAAGACTTTTTTTTTCCTTTTTTTTTGGCAAGGTCTTAACTGTTTAGTTCAGGTGGTCCTCCACACTAATCACTCTTTAGTAGCAGCTGATCGGCTTCCCGGGGGTGAGGATAGCTGGGAGCATAGGGATTGGAGATGCGAAGGGGCACAAGGAAATGGGGAGATGTGAACACATTCATCATCATGATTATAGTGATGGTTTCACATCTTCCACATCCCTCAAAACAAGTCTCATTTCACACCAGCCTTCTACTGGAAACATTTTAGTATTTTTTCTGCTGAATTGGGAATGTTACGAGAAATCTGGGCAAGGCTCAGTAGTCCACAGGCCATCTTGGGTTTTGTGTCCTGCTTTGCCCATGTAAGAAAGACACTGGCATCGCAAATCAGATATCTATCAGAGTCTGCAAAAGGGTCAATGACCTCTCAGGCCTCAACTGTGAGGCATTTAGATATTGGCGTTTGGTTTTAGCTTCCACCCCACTCACAGTTCAGTCCACTAAGTCACAAGTAAGGAAATGGACTAGCATAAGAGAGCAAGAGCCAGCGCTGGGCATGGTGGCACATGCCTGTAATCCTAACACTTGGGAAACTCAGACAGGAGGATCACTGTGAGTTCAAGGATGACCTGAACTACATGGCAAGACCTTGTCTCAAAAAACCAACCTCCTCCCCACTAAAGGCAAGGCCCTGAGTTGAACTCCTAATACCAAAAAACAAAAACAAAAAAACAGCCAACAATTCTTGCTGTAAAATACCCACAAGTATTTAATTAGAATTCTTACCACAGCCTGGGCAACAGCCTAGTCTACACTAGATTGCTCAGAGCCTAAAGGGAAATGTCAGCCAATTCAGCCACTTTTCAGCAACTTTTTGTTTTCCTGCAGTACTAGGGGTCAAACCCAGGGTCTCACTCATGCTAGGTAAGTGCTTTATACTGACTTGTATCCCCAACTCTTCTTATTTTGAATTAGGGTCTTGCTAAATTTACTAGGTTAACTCAAACTCATAATCCTCTTGTCTCATCCTCATAGGTAGCTCAATTACAGGCTGGTGTTGCTGTGCCCATCTATTTCGGCACTTCTTAAGTATCTACCCAGTGATGGGTTAGAGACCAAGTACCCAAACTGCAACCCAAAGCTCACATTGCAAAGTGTCAATACTGCAGTTAAATACTAAAGTTTTTGTTTAGAAAAATAATTTATCCGATGCTCAGCTGCTAGGGCAATGTGGCTTGTGTGCTGATAAAGGACTCTGCATGCCCACTGCAGCATGCATGCCATGGGTTTGCCACCACTAACCTCATCTGACCCAGGTCTTACCCTCAGTAACTCTCACTTTTTAGGGAGTAAGTACAAATTTGGTTCAGTTCCATAGATATTTATTGGATACCTGTTATGTGCTGTATACCAAACTGAACTCAAGGTGCAGCAGTGAACCAGACAAATATGGTCCATGCCTTCATGGGACTTATGGCTGAAAGAGAAGTTAGACACTACATGTGAGTTGAGTGCTTCAAAGAACATACTTCTTAAGTCCATTAAATTGGTGCACATCTGTAATCTCAGCTACTCCAGAGACTTATGCAGGAGGATCTCAAGTTCATGGACAGCAATGGCAAAACTGCATCTAAAGGCAGAGAATGAAATTGTTGGGGTGGCGATTAGTGGCAAAATTCAGCCTAAGATCAGAAAACCTGACACTAGAAAATAACAACTTGTCAAAACAAAAGGAAAAGCAGATTACCAGGAATCAGAAAGGAACTGACAGGAAAAATCGTAAGTTGTATAGAACTTGGAAGGCAGTCCACAGAAAAAAAGAAACAAAAATATTTGCTATCTTTCTTTTTTTTCTATCTATCTATCTATCTATCTATCTATCTATCTATCTATCTATCTATCTTCTCTTCCCCTCCCGAGTTCTCTTGGCCCTGGAAGGGGAACTAGGTTTCCCAGAAGCAAGATAGCATCTGAGTCCAGGAGATGGAGGGAGAAAAAGCCAGCAGAGTCCATGCCCTATGAGAACTGTATAAACAGCATAAGATGTTGCTCCAAAGGAATCCTTTCCACATGGCAAACAACAGTCATACACAAATGTGGGCACCTGCCATGTCCCCTGAGAATGCTCCATCAGGCACATCTCAGGAAAGAATTGATTATTTACTTTTGGAATTCAGAGCAACTAAGAAACCACTTCAGGGCTTCCAGTGTTACCCTCCCACAGTGATGGGATAAGACAGACCCCATCTCTCTCAAGAGATTCCCTGAAAAGCTTAAACTCATACCAAGAAAGACACACCACCCCTGTGCTTGAGTTGTGCCAAGTTGGATTTGAAAGTGCCTGCCAGCATTAAGTACTTAACCCTTATCCTGCTGCCTACATCCAGCACAAATGTGAGATCTGATTGCTTCGCCTGTCCACCAGCATAAACAAGGGCACATCTTGGTGTGGACATTGCCACAGCCTGGGGAAAACACAGTGGCCTCCAGCATAGGTGACACACCTCAGAAACCCATAGGCCATATGGCTAAGTGGAAAACAGACAAAACACAACAAACAAAAAATAAGAGACATGAGAAGACAAGGCAACAAAATAACTCCCCAAACTCCCAACTCCTTGTGGGCTCTTCAGCAGCACATATACCACAACTCCCAATACCCATAAAGCCAATCATCCATGAGGGATGAGGAAGAAGGAAAGCAAAAGCCATATAGCAGAATTATTTAAAAGGATAACAAGAGATTAAAAAGCAGATCAATGAGTTGCTCAGTGGGCTTACAGAAAATATAGCTAATCAGATAATGTAGGTAAAACAATCAAGGAGCTTACAGAAGACACATAAAAAGCTAACTGGGCTATACAAAACATGAATGACCACTTTGGCAAACAACTAGTGTCCACAAAAAGCTTCCAAACATAAATATAGAAGATTTAAAATTGTACTGTAAGTGTGAGAAGCAAAAGTGACCAATGTGAGGGCAGAACACCAGAATGAAAAGATAGGGATGCTTTCAAAAACCAGTAACTCAGCGATACAATAGGAAACCGGCGATACTTTAAAAACAGGAGAGCATGAAAAATGGGCTCAGCAGTTGCTGGATGATATGAAGAAGACTGACATGAAAGTAACTGGAATAAGTTTAAAAATGAGAAGACAACACAAAGGGTATTAAAAAGAAACCTGCTTACTGAAATAATAGCAGAAAACTTTCCAAATATTGGAAATTAAACATACAGATAATTAAGGTATGTAGAATCCCAAATAGCCACAACCAAAGAAAATGTCTTCAGATCATAGTCCTGAGGTCTACTAGAAGTCTGACCCAATGACAAAATCTTAAAAGCTATTAAGAAAAGTAATGTATCATTTATAAAAGTAACCCCACTAGAAAAGTACAGCACTTTCCACACAACCTTCAAGGCCAGGAGAACTTGCAGTGAAGTGTTTTAAACCCTAAAAGATAACTTCCCACCCTCATTATATATGGTGCAGCACTTCCAAAATTGATGGGGAAATAAGGTATTGCTATGATAAAGATCACCTCAAGAAATGCATGACCAGCAAGCCACCACTACAAAAAATTCTCAAGGCTACCTTAAAGGAGTCAAGGAAGCCAAAAATATTAAAAATCTAATAGAATGAGTACATCAGGCAGGAAGGAGAAAGGGGGCAAGGAAAAGAAATCAACAAAGGAAAATAATGCAATGACAGGAGTAAGTCAGCACATTTCAGTGATAACTCTATGTGGTCTCAATTCCTCAATCAAAAGATTTGCAGAATGGATCAAGAAACAACAATATGCAGTACACAGTAGTGCCTTGGTTCATAAACTTAATTCTTTCCATAATTCTGGTTGCAAAACAAATTGCACTCCAACTGAATCATTTTCCCATAAGGTCAGCATTGATCCTAACCATTGAATTTGTCTCAGTTCTCACCCAATTCAGTTTGTGACCAGAATAGTAGAATTAATTTTGTGAACCATTTCTTTTAAACACAATCTAAAAGAAATACACAGGTTAAAAATCAAGAGATGAAGTGAGGAATATTTCTCATGGCACAGTGCCTGCCTAGCAAGTGTGAGGTCATGAATTCAATTCCCAGTACCAAGGAAAAAAAATCAAAAGATGGAAAATAATATTCCATGCAATAGGAAACCAGGAAACAACGGGAATAGCTGTCCTAATTTCAGTGAAAGTAGGTTTCAAACTAACCTAATCCAAAGGAGCAAAGAATATTGGTTAAAGGAAGCATTCAACAGGAAGAAATACAGTTTTAAACATAAATGCATGAGACAACAGCATGCCCAACTTCATAAAATACTACTAAAGATGAAAAATCAGATACACATCAGAACAATTACAGTGGGGGATCCCAACACTCACTATCACAAATAGGTCAAAAAAATCAATGAAGAAATATCAGAGTTGAACTAAACCTTTGAACAAATGGGCTTAATAAATGTTTACAGTATTCCACTCAACAGCAATAGAATACACATTCTTTTATTTGGAATTTATTCAAAATAGACTACACTTTCACCTATAAAACATGCATAAGAAAATGCAAAAGAACCAAAATTATCCCATGAGTATTATCAGATCACAGTGCAATGAAAATAGAAATTATTGGCAAAAGAAACCTTGGAAATTTTGCAAGCACCTGGAAATTAAGCAGTATCTTCTTGAGTAATCAATGGGTCACAGAAGAAATTGAAGAAATCAAACACTTTCTAGAATCAAATAATAATGCTGCTACAACATCACAGAACCTATGGGACACAATGAAAACAACCCTAAGAGGAAATTTCATAGCTGTGAATGCCAACACCAGGAAAACAGTGAGTCCAAATAAGTAACCTAATGATGCACCTCAAAACCCTAGAAAATAAGAACAAATCCAAAACGACTACAAGGAAGAAAATTATAAGGATCAGAGGAGAGATTAATGAAACTGAGACTAAAATAATAAAGGACTAGTTAGTCCAAGAGCTTATTGTTTGACAAAATAAAAATAGACAAGCTACTCCTAGACAGTCTTACCAAGAAAAAGCAAAGACCCAAGTCAATGCAATTAGAAATGAAAAAAGCAAAATCACAACAGACTCTGCTAAAATCTAGAAGATTATTAGTAACTACTTTGAGAAACTCATAAAATGGAGGATTCAGAAAAAAATGGATAAATTCCTAGAAACATAGGGAATACATACATGTACTACCAAAACTGAACCAAGAAAGTATAAAAATGCTAGACAACTTTAGGGAAGATTTAACACCAATAGTTCTCAAGCTCTTTAGTGAAATTGAAAGAGAAGTCTATAGCCATTCCACCCTGACTGTGCCCAATCTTGTCTGATCATGGAAGCTAAGCAAGGTCAGACCTTGTTAATAATTGGATGGGAAAGAGATGGAGTACTACACTAGTGTTACCTGCTTCCAAAATCAGAAAAAGATAAAACCAAAAAAGAGAGATACAGGCCAATCTCTCTAATGAACACAGACACAAAAATCCTTAACAAGATTTGATAAAGTATAACAAATCATCAAAAAGATTGTATAGTGTGACAAAGTAGAATTCATCCAAGGCATACAGGAATGGTTCAACATATATAAATCTGTAATGTCACATACACAAAGGCAAAGATGAAAGTCACATGACCATCTCAGTAGATGCAGGAAAGGCCTTTGACAAAATCCAACATCCATTCAGATTAAAAACCCTGAAGAAAATAGGTGTAAAAGGATCTTACCTCAATCTGACAAAAGCTGCATATGAGAAGCCTTTTATGGTCAACATCATATTAAATGAGGAGGAGCTGAAAGCTTTCCCTCTAAAAATCAGGAAAAGACCAGGATGTCCACTATTACCACTCCTGTTCAATATAGTTCTTGAAACATTAGCTAGGGCAATCAGAAAAATAAAAAAAGGTATGCATAGGAAAGGACAAATTTTTATTATGGGAAGATGACATGATTCTTTACAAAAATTACACCAAAAAACTTCTATAATTAATAACCAAATCTAATAGTGTAGCAGAATACAAAATCAATACATAATTACATTCCTGTACACCAATAACAAATTTATCAAGAAAGAAAATTAGGGAAATAATACCTTTCACAATCACATCAAGAAAAATTAAATGCCTAGGAAATAACCTAGGCAAGGAAGTAAATACCTCTACAATGAAAAATACAGTACTCTGAAAAAGAAGATTGATGAGTATATCAGAAAATGGAAAAATATTCCTTAATAGGCAAAACCAATAAGGTGAGAATGCCCATCCTTCCAAAACTGATATATATATTTAATGCAATCTTAATCAAAATACCAGTAGCCTTCCTTGCAGAACTAGAGAAAACAATCCTAAAATTCATATAGAAACAGAAGCGACCTAAATAGCAAAAGCAATTCCAAGGAATAAGAGCAAAGCAGGATACATCACAAATGCAGACTTCTAGCTATACTATAAAGCTACTGTGATAAAAACAGCATGGTAGTGGCACAAAAACAGATCAGTGAAGCAGAACAGAGGCTACAGAAACAACTCTAGGTAGATTCAGCTATCTGATCTTTGACAAAGAAACCAAAAACATATGCTGGAGGAAAGATAGCCCTTATAACAAATGTGCTGGAAGAACTAACCAGATGCAAAATATTGAAGCTAGACCCATATCTCTCATCATGTACTAAAGTAAAAGTAGATCACACAGCTAAGTATTAAAACAGAAGCTCTTATGAATATGCCATAAAACTCTTAAAGATATAGGTGTAGTCAAAACCTCAGTTTCATGAGACATAACACCAAGAATCAACAAATGAAATCATATCAAGTTAAAAAAAAAAGTCTGCACAGCAAAGGAAACAACTGGCAGAGTGCAGAAACAACGTAAAAAATGTGAAAAGTTTTTGTCAGCTTAGAAAAATATCTAGAATATATAAAAATAAAATAGATGCCCAAAACAAAAGATCCAATCAAAAATAGGCAACTAAAATAAAGAGACACTTCTCAGAAGAAGTACAATGGCCAATAAATACATGGAAAAATGTTCAGTATCACTGCCTGTCACAGAAATGCAAATTAAAACAAAGCTGAGGTTCCATCTTGCTCCAGGAAAAATGGCTATACTCAGGAAATCAGAAAAAATGCTAATGAGGCTACAGGAGAGAGAAAAAGAACCCTTCATTGTTGGTGGGAATATAAAACTAGCATAACCATTATGCAAATCAATATGGGGATTCCTCAAAAAACAAACTAGAAATTCCATTCAACCCAGCTAGTCCCTTCCGAGGTATCTTCCCCAAAGAGTTAAAAATATATTACAGTGATACATAAATAACCATGTTTGTAGCAGCACAATTCACAATAATTAAATCTTGGAAGCAGCCTAGATGTCCATCAACTGATGAATGGATAAAGAAAACGTAGCATTTACACAAAATGGGATACCACTCAATAAAGATAAATGAATCATTTGTAGGAAAATGGATGTACCTTGAAAGCATAACGTTAAGTGAAACAAAGTCTAATTAGACATGTCTAATTATTGCATGGTTTCTCTTGTAGGAGGAACCCAAAATATAAATTTTTAAAAAATTTTTCTTTTTGGTATTAAATACATTTTATTTTTTTTTTTTTTTAATTTTAAAGGGGGTAAAATTAAACACACCAAAACAGAACAAAATAGGACATAAGAAAGCAATGTAAGAGATATAAATTTCAAAGCTAGATGACCTGAGATCTTCACTATCATATTGTCTCTTGTTTTCTTCCAAACAGTTGTCCATGTCTTCACATACAGAGAATTCATACAAAACAACATAGTATAAAACTGATCTGATCAGAATGAGGAAGGCGTTTTAGGTCTTCAAAACTAGACAATAGGGAAGTCACTAATGGCTGTCATAGCGTCCCTCCTTTTCAAAATAGCTGTCCATACTTTCATGTATACTGAAGTTCAACACAACAAAACAGGCAGGGGGGGAGGGGTTGCTGGGTTTCCCGACCTCCAGGTCCCCGCATGGTGCCGGTTCCAGTAAATGCCAGTGGCTCCCACCCTGAGCCGCCAGAGCCTGCATGCTCACAACCACTCACCAGGGGAGGAAGGATTGCTTGGTTTTCCAGCACTCCAGGTACCAACTTGGTGCAGGTCCCAGTAAATGCCAGTGGCTCCTGTCCCGGGCTGCAGGAGTCTGCCACGCTCATAGCTACTCAAAGGGGGAGGGGTGAGTTGCTTCAACCTGTTTCTCTCTAATGCATTGACCATTTCACTGCCCAAGTTCTGAAATGGCCAACAGACCATAGAAAGATATCTCTCTGGGCTCCTGTTTAAGACCAACAGCGTTAGAAAGCTGCCAGCCTTGATTCAGGGCCAGCCAAAATATAAATTAAAGAGCAAAATAAAAGATAATAGGAAAAAAAGAAATAGTGGGAGGAAGGGTAAGGGGGGAAATACAGCCAAGAAGGGATGAGATATAAAAAGTTAAGGTTAGTTTTGTATATGTACCAACTCCTCATGATGAATGTAATCATTATGTGTTACAAATATGTACTAATAAAAATATTTAAAAATAAGGTTGAGGGTATAGCTCAGTGGCACAGTGCCTACCTGGTAAGCATGAGGTTGTGAGTTCTATTCCTGGTACCAAAATACATACATACATACATACATACATACATACATACATACATAATAAAGGTAGATAAAAGTTCTAGGTTTCAATTAAGGATTCAAGTATCTGTTGATAAAATGAAGAGATAAAGGCTATAAAGGCTGTATGTCTTTATCTTTTCTTACAGGGCCAACCATGAGCCTAAAACAGCTTCAGTAAATAAATTTACTAGTCCCTCACTAATCCCTAACACTGTTCTCTGCATAATATTACCAAAATAAGACAACTAAAACTCACTGGGCAATTCAGCCATCTGGATTGGGAGGTTGCACTTGGCAAATGGAAAGTGTTTATGGTAATTCCTTTCAAAAATAGTGAGATAGGGAAAAGTGAACATGGGTCTCACATTATCAATATAAGGTCAGCTAATGGAATACATGCAAGAGCAATCAAAACACTTACCAATATAATGCCAGAGCAAAAGCTCTGATCTTTAACCAAGTGTAGTGGAGCACACCTGCAGTCCAGCTACAGTAAGAACCTGATTTTCAAACATTCAAATTGTAAACTTACAGATACGAACAGACCTCATATTACTGTGATGCAAATAAATCGCAGAAGTAGCTCATGTGTCTGCCAGATATTGTCACAGCTGTGCTGCTGTACAGTGTGATAGTGTGCAGCAGTAAAGTGCTCATTCAGAGCACAAGATGTCTGGAAGCAAGAAGAAAAGGCGTGCTAAAGTGGAGAGAAGTGCAAAGCTACATAAGTATACATATATTTGTGTCAAAGTTACATAAGACTCTGTTGTACTTGTAAACCAATCTGACTTAACAAATGGTCTCCCCATGAGAAACTCATTGATAAGTCAAGGACTTACTGCTGAGGCAAAAAGATCTTGAGTTCAAAGCCAGCCTGGACACCTGGGTAAGACCCTATCTCAAACATCAGTGACAAAATTGATATCCCAGAAGTCACATGTATATTTTTTGGAGAAGTTGGATCCAGTGGGATTAATTGTTTCTTAATCAAATCACTGCTTTAGAGAGAAACTCCATAGGTTTTAGTGTCATCATCTGTAATGATCTATTAGACTTGCTTCCTGCAGGACGAGCTTCCATTTTAAGATGGGAGAGAGAAGCCCTGAAACAGATGTAAGAATTAGAAAGAGCCTTGATGTGGGACTGCGCTTGCAGAAAGAAGCCACTTCCACTATTGGTGGTGGAGACCCAGGAAGTGGCTTTGAATTAGTCTTTGATGCATAGGGAAGACTTTGATATATGGGGTAAGAGGAAAAACAGTCCAGATAGAAGGTGAACGTAGGCACCAAGCTGATGTAGGAAATCCGGAGCATACTTAAGAGGTTCTTAAACAGTTTTCCTTGCCTGTGGGTCACAGTCATACAGCAAGATCACTGAAGGCTCTGAGTTGTAGGCTAAAAGAATGTGACCCTGGTATGTTAAACCATTCTGACATTTTCCTCCTCTCTTTTTAAGGTGTTTAATATATATGAGTTATAAACTATTCACACAGTAAAAGAAATGCTTTTTAAAGAGTAAGTGACTAGCCGAGTATGGTGGTGCACATTTGTAATCTCAGCACTTGGAAGGCTGAGGTATGAGGATCGTCGAGGGCTTGAGACCAACCTGGGCTACAAGGTGAGCTCAAGGCCAGCCTGAACTGTGCAGCGAGAATCTCTCAAAAAGTCAAAAAAAGAAAAAAAAAAAACAATAAATTAGAACATTAACTTGTTAAAGAAAAGTTCATATTGTCAAAATGTAATAGATACAGAAAGTCAGAACAAACCAATTACCATACAAGGAATGAATACTAAAGGACCCCTTCCCCAAAAAAGTAATAATTCAGACCCACAAACTTTTAAAATTAAATAATCCTACTGTTGCTCAAATAATTATGGAGACTAGAAAAAGAATTTGGAACCTTAAATTGCCAAGAAAAAAAGAACTTCCAAGTTCATTTTGTAAAATGAGTACAATAGCATTGATTGAAAAATCTGACAAGATCGTACCAAAAGAAATTATAGGCCAGAAATGATGTGTTAGCAAATAATCCAGCAGCAGTTTCAAAAGGAATAAATCATGACTAAATTGAGTTTATTATAGGAGTGCAAGGATATTTTGATATTATATGATCTTAATATTCATATTGAAAGTTTAAAAGTATATGATTACCTCGTGCAAAGACATTTGATACAATTGAGGACTTATTAAAAAAACTCCATACGTAGAAATTGATGAGGCTTTTCAACTAAATTCAGGAACAACATAAGCCCACTTTGTCCTCTACTATTCAACACTGTATTAGAAATTTTAGCCAAGGAAATTAGACAAAACAAACATGGGAATTAAAAAAAAAAACTATCTGCAGATGCTATATTTCTGGAAAGCCCAGAGGGATTTGTTGGAAAACTATTTTTAAAACTTAGTAAAATATCAATTGAATACAGTTGACACAAATGTCAGTAGCCATCCCCAAGTAAGGGTACATATTCTGATTTCATTTAATGGAAATACAGTACTGTTAGGCAGAGTTCATGTATGCTGTCAGAAATCACTGGCTTCTGTTTGCCTCCTCCCTTCCCAAAGGCAAATGCTATTTTGACTTAATTCATCATCAATTTGTTTACCAATTTTTAAACTTTATGTAGGTGTATATTATACACATTATTTTTTAACCTAGCTTCTTCAGCTATGGAAAACAACTTAAGAGGACTCTGGTGCTGATAATGTTCTGTTTCATGATCCAGGTGCTGGTTACATAGCGTGCATTCATTTTATGAATATCCATCAAACTGTACACTTATGATTTGTGCACTCTTCTTTAATTACACTTCAATAAAAATATTTAGTTAAAAAAGTAAATAAAGAGTAGACGATACAATTTCAGATGTGGCAATGGGTAGCATCAAGGATTCTGCATAGGGAGAGATGATGACACACTTGGAGATGGCCTTGCAGTTAACACAGAACTACACAAATTAGCATTTGTATAATGTTAGAACTCATCAATGGCTTTTATTTCCAAGGAATGCGGTGTCCTTTATCTGCCTTTGTACGGAGACATGGCCGGTGAGTAAATCAATCTAAGTTCTCTCAAGAAACAACCAACAGAGATTTGTCAATCTTACCCAGTCATGGGGCTGACAAGCCTAAAATCTGTAGGGTAAGCCAACAAATGGAAACCCAGGCCTGATTTCTACTTCATATTTCTAGTCCTGAGGCTGACTTTTTTCTTCAGAAAACCTTAGCTTTTGTTTTAAAGGCCTTCAACTAATTGCACGAGGCCCAGCTATATTATCTCAATTCAATTTCTTTACTTACAGGTGACTGATTATAAATGTTAATCACAAAATACCTTCCCAGCAACATCTAGACTAGGTTTCATCAGACAACTGGGCACCATAGCCTAGCCAAGTTGACATGTACGATTAACCATCACAGTGGTCTATAGAAAATATGGAAACAGGGCTTCCTGTCGGGAGGAGTAAGTCCGGCAGAGGCGCAAAACCCCACCCCAGCCCTGCATAACTCTTCTTTGCCTGGGGGACAGACTGCGGCTTCCTGCAGAGAACACTGAGTCCTGCCAAGCCACAGAACTCTTCCCAGCCTGGCTGACCTCTCTCCCTCACTTGGAACAAAACTTGAAGCTTGAAAATATAGGAAGATGACAAAACGAAAGACCAAAATGCAATCTCAAACATCCAGCCCATCCCAAGAAAGACCAGGAGCCATGTGCATAGAAGAAAATATATGCCACATACCTGAAATAATAGTAACTGAAATAAAGAGGCAATTCTGGGAAGCCTTAAAGGAATTCAAACTAGAAATAATCTCTCAGGAAAAAGAAGAAATGATACAAGAAATGAAGGAGATGCTGAACATATCTAAAGAAGACACAGTTAAAAAATTGGAGGAACTAAACAAAAAGATAGAATCCCTGAGTGAACAATATAAGAAACAAACAATATATAAAGCAGATGCAAAGAGATATACAGGAAATCAAAAACTCCATCGAAAGTTGTAAAAACTGCCTCAATGATTGTGAAGATAGAATTTCAGACCTCAAAGACAAGATTGCAGCCAGTGAACAGGAAAGGAAAGATCTTTTAAAAATAACAAGAAATCAGGAAATAACAATTCAACACCTGCAAGATGACACAAAGAGGAACAAGGTTGATAGGGATAAATGAAAAAGAAGAGGACAATATAAAGGATGTCAAGAGGGTATTTAGAGAAGTAATAGCTGGAAATTTCCCAAACATGATATTGGAAACAGATATCAAGATCAATGAAGCATATAGAACTCCAAATAGCCATAACCAAAATAAAACTACACCCAGACACATAGTAATGGCCATCCCAGAAATTGAACAAAAGAATAGAATATTAAAAGCTGTCAGAGAAAAGACAGATCACCTAAAAGGAAAACCTATCAGAATTACAGCAGACTTCTCAGCACAAACAATAAAGTCAAGAAGAGCATGGAGTGAAGTATTCCAGATCCTAAAGGAAAATGATTTCCAACCTAGACTGGTGTACCCTGAAAAACTGTCCTTCAAAATGGATGGAGAAATAAGATACTTCCATGACAAAGAACAGCTGAAAAACTACATGATCACCAAGCCAACCCTGCAAAGAATACTAAAAGACAGCCTAGATGCATTTAGGAAAAAAACCACTAAACAAAGCAGACAATTAAACAGAACAGAAAGAAAAAGATGCAACAGCAGAAAGATAACATGT